TAATTATATAAAAAAAAATTAGATATCGCATTACATATAAATGTCAAAATTAGGTACTAAAATTTATATTTACCCTTCTAAAATCCAGGTAATAAATATGGGCGGCTAAATTATATAAAAAATTCAAATAAAATCCTAAAATCTATAGATGTCTCCCAAAATTGAATTGAGAAATTGAGATAAAGTTGTTTAAATACTAAATAATACTTTTTAGTTATTTAAGATAATAATATTAATCATTCAAAAGAAAAGAAAATAATATTAAAAATTAATATCTACTTTATAAAAGACACGTCAAAATATATTCGGTTAAACTACTAACATGACGTGTCTTTCTGAAATAGATGAAATACTATTTTTTAAATAATTATTTTTAAATTTATTTCATTAAATAATTAAAAATATATATTATTTACACAATTTTACCTCAATTTCTTAATTCAATTTTAGTAGACAGTTATTGATTTTAGGGTTCTATTTCTGTTTTTCTATAATTTTAGCCGCCTATATTATTTTTATACAAATTGAGCTGTTAATTTTATTGAAAAGAGAAAATATTCAAATTTACTATGAAATATGAAAATTAAACACATAACTAGAATATTTTCTTGTAACCATTGATACAATAAAGTAGTCACTCAAAATTATTCAAGGACCATACATTAAAAAAGTTAAAACTCATTTAAGAAACTCGAACAAAAAGAAAAATACAAACAAATTTTACTTCATCGACAAACAAACCATAACATGGGATTAAACTACTGAAAGACCACCACCAACAACAAAATAGAATTGAGCGCCGTGAGAAAATTATCTACGAACGCAAACCACGTATCTAAGTCCGAAAGAACAACGAGATAACAAATAAACGTCATTTTGATCAGACGATGCCACGTTAAATTCAGTCCTGAAAAAACAGTCAAATGATCAAAAACGTACCATGAAGACAGAAGAAAATGTGTCCTAAAGACAAATAAAAATGTGTCATAGAGACAAAATTATTAGAAACTATAAAATACACGAGAAATAAAAAATATAGGCGATAAAAGATAAACACCAAAACTGATATCGTCACCTGTCAAACTCAAATGAATAGTAGAAATAAAATGAAAGCTAACCTTAGATATTGAATTATCATCTATTTGTTTCTTTTACTTTTGAAAATTATATACATTAAACTAGAACAGACTCAAATAATAATAAGAATAAATAAACAAACAACCAGGTGAGATAGAATTATGCATGACCAAGATAAACCAATCAAAGCATTAAACATAAATTATTGAAAGGACTCCTAATTTATTGATGTACCAGCAATGTTTTTCATAACTCCATCCAGAAGTTCAGAATGCTAAGTGGAGCGGTCTTTATTTCTTGAACAAAATAATATTCAGCCCTCTATTCTCCAATATATGTGATTATTTGGATGCCTAGTTCTTGAACATGTACATTTTCATATTTAACTCATTTAAGTCAACTTATATTTTTTTGTATGCTTGGAGTTATGTAAATAAACTACCTAATTTTTTTGAATGGCGAGCATCGTCAAGCAGCAAAACTCTATTACTATCTCCACTGCCAGTATGTTTTCTCTCTGTTGAGCGCCCGATATCATTACATGTGATTGTCAGAATAAATATGGTAACTGAGTTATCCATCACAGGCCTCTCACACACGGGAAAACTCAAAGAAATTTCAGATGAGTTAGACCATTAATGGCAGAAAAAGTGTATCAGCATTTGATCCAACTCACACAAACATAAAGAACACTGCCATAAACATATAGAAGCATCCATGGACAGTGAATAAGTTTTATTTACTGGGATATAACTAAAGACTCAATCTTTTTAGACTTTAATCATCCAAATATACTAAACACTCAGACTCCATATCCGAACAGCATAGCAACCAAGTAACAATGGTTCAATTTCGCTCGACGGACGTCTATTTTGAATCTCCGATATGCTAGCCGACATCATTTCGTAATTGATAAACAAATCACTGGTAAACAAGGCAAGAAAGTAAAATTGATAGAAAATTGAAGAAAGAAACGAAAATGGAACCAAATAATTTAACAACAACAACAACAAAACCCTGATTCCCATATGCAATGAGGTAAGGGGGAGGTAGGGTAGTAGACTGACCCCAACGCCAGGTTGAGAGCAGCTTCCGTGGAAGACCTCCGACAGTCAGAAAATTAAAAATAAAGATAAGATGCAAAAGCGTGTATAAATAAATAAATAAATAAATAAATACATAGATGAACAGTCTTCATATACAGTATTGATATGTGCGTCTGTAATGGGGAGTAATCCTGTAAATAATTCCCTGCAAATAATTCCCTACATAGAAATCTCTGCATATAGACTGAAAATGTAAGACCCCCCTAAATTTAAAAAGAGGAAACATGAGTAGAAATGATACACAGAAGTCAATAATAGCAAGCTACGAGAAGGAATAAATTCAAATGAGTTAATTCTTAAACTAAGGCAACACTACTCCGATACCCTAGTTCTAAGCCTTCATACATTTCAATGACAGAAACATGTATAAAGTAGAAGTCATGGAAAGTACTACAAAGACATTAAAAAGAAGACAGAGATGTTACACCCTATGGCTGTGAACCGCACTACTCAACTACCCTAGTCTTAAGTCTCCATACTTTCCTATCGGAGGTCATGTCCTCGGTAAGGGCTAATTCCTTCAAATCAAATCTCAAGCAGTCTTCCCACTTCCATCTTGGTCGTCCTCTCCTTCTGACACCGTCGACTGTAATCGACTCTACCCTCCTGACCGCATCCGACGGTTGTCGCCTAAGGACATGCCCAAACCACCGTAGTCTTCCCTCCCTCAATTTTTCGGATACAGGCACCACCCCCAAGTACATCCTAATAGCAGAGTTAGGTGTCATGTCCCACAGAGTCCTACCACATGTCCATCGAAGCATTCTCATTTCTGCGGCCTCCATCCTCCTTACGTGATCCTTCTTGATTGCCCAACATTCTGATCCATACAGCAGCGCTGGTCTTATTGTCATTCTATAAAATTTTCCCTTTAGTTTTAGAGGCACCTTTTTGTCACACAAAACTCCAGTAGCAGCCTTCCACTTTAGCCATCCCGCCTTTATACGGTGTGTAATGTCTTCATCTACACCCCCATCTTTATGAATCATAGACCCTAGGTACTTGAAACAATCATTTGAGGGGATAATGTGTCCTTCTATGCATACTTCTACATCTTCATCGTTTTGGTTTCCACTGAAGTTTGAACATACATAATTTGTCTTTTCAATATTGATCCTTAGACCTTTTTCTTCCAAAGCATTCTTCCAGGTAGCAAGTCTACTATTCAGCTCAGTTTTTTGTTTCAGCAATTAGGACAATGTCGTCAGCGAAAAGCATACACCATGGAACACCGTCTGGTGTCGCACAATAGATGTCGTCCATAATCAAGGCGAAGATGTAAGGGCTAAGAGCCGACCCCTGGTGGAGTCCGATTTCCACCGGGAATGCCTTGGTGTCGCCAACTGTAGTCCTGACGGTAGTAGTAGATCTACAGTACATATCACGAATCACCCGGATATAAGCAGTTGGGATCCGTCTCGTTTCCAAGGTCTTCCAGATCGTATCGCGGGGAACGCTATCATACGCCTTCTCAAGGTCAATGAACGCCATGTGAAGATCACTATTTTTTCCCATATATTTCTCCCTATATTTCTTGTCAATCTTCTAAACAATTACTTGATTAAAAGAACCATAATTTTCCTTCCAGAAAATAAACGAAAAAGATTCACATCAAAAATCCATTTTGGAATTTCCCATTTTATATCTTCAAGAACAAAAGTTGAAAAGCAAGAAACAGAATAAATCAAACGACCTTCGAGAACTTGTGTAGAAGGGTCAAAATGGGATTGATCAGAACTGGGTCGTTCCAAAACACCAGCACCACCGATCTTGAAAGAACCGAACCTGGCTTTCCTGCACGTAAGTTTTGAACCCATTTTCTTGAAAACTCAAACGTAGCAAGCAAAGCAAAGAAAAAAAAGAATTACCTCAAAATGAGAACAAGGAACGAATGGTGTAGGGCACGAAGGCGTTGAACGGTGGCAGCCTACTGTAGCTTTGTAGGTAAATTGTAAACGGCGGAAACCATAAAGAAAAGAAAATGAAAAAGGGTTAGGGGTTTTATGAGATAAAAACTCACTTTGTGGTGTTTTCAATTTCAAACGCCACTAATGTGTTGCCAATTGCAGCTTTTTATCAAAAACACCACTAATGTTATGAAAAATTGCGGCGTTAAATGAAGAATGTCACTATATATAAGTTTATTGCGGCGTTTGTTTCAAAAATACTACTAAAGTACGAGTCTTTTGCGGCGTTTGTATCCTAAACGTCGCTAAATTTATCATTTTGTTGTAAATGCAAAGATATGTATAAAATTAACGGCGTTTATCTTAAAACGCCACTAAAAATCCAAAGTAATTTTTTAGTAGCAATAATGCTTATACATCAAGCCACTATAATCATTAACTATAGCTCCTATCCCATTGTATTAAGCTTGACGCTCTACCATCCACATTAACCAATCAACCATTTAAGTCCCAAACAAAACAATAATTTTATTTTAATCCTTACTTGAGCAAGTAAATCAAACGCCAAATATTGTTAGTTTTTAGTCCCATTACTCTCAGAATTTGGTAATCAAAATGACAAAATCCAAGTTGAAAAAAAAAAGTTTCGAGTCTAATAGTAAGAAAAGGAAAATTAAATTGAAAAGGATTATCAAGTTCAATAACTTAACACTGATTTATCTCATGATTAATGGATGACATGATTTACTAATGGAAAACTTGGAAAGAAAACCCCTGGTAAAGGTAAAGCTGGATGAGAAACAAGATTATCATCTCCATCACTTGCTGAACTGAAAGAGGCCTGAGATCGATATAAGTGTCAGACATAAATATATGTAGGTCGACACAATTAGTATAAAAAGACGAGACGTGGGGAGTAACATAGTCCGACGAAGCACATAATTTTATTGGAAATACTTCAAATGATGAATAAAACGAGTGGAGCTTTTACAGTAGAAACCATTAACGACTAGAAGCCATCTTATCTGGAAACCTAAATACTACATTGGCATCTCTGCTCACATCTTTGCCGGCTTTGGGAAAATATCTGGAGTGAATTTCTGAGCTGCACTCAAGCTTCCCTTGATCTTCATCATCCCCCTGCATCATCCATGGCAGTTGTACAAAATCTAAGCAGATTAAAAATGGAATATAATGAAGGGAAAAAGAAAGAATTTCACCTCATAAAAGCAACCTGGGGATTCGTCTGCCCAGTGGCGACCTTCACAAAATCATCGTCCTTGAAGTAAAACGTAGCATCAGGCTTTCCCCCTTCAAATGTACCTAAAATTCAGGGTAATAGATCTCACTATCAACTTTATAAATTGCAGAATTTCATCGCCGAAAGAGTGAAGGAAACCGAACTATGATAACCTTTGGTAACCTCTCCTTTCTTGAGATCAACAACGTAAGAAACCTCATCAATCCCAATTTTCTATAAATCATAAACAAATCCCGGAATCAGAAACAAATCTTTAAGATCAAATAGAGACTGAGAAAGAATAAAGGGATAACCTTGGGGGAGATATTGAATTGGAAAACGAGGCCGATCTTCTTGGTGAGCTCTTTACCAGCATCAGAAGCCAGGTGGAATTTAATCATCTCAAACAAGTTATCAGATTTCAACTCAGTAGTCGCCATTATTACAACACAAGTGTAGAAATCCGAAGAAATAAGTGAGGGAGTTGGGTTTGGCTTACGATTGAAATCTGATTTTGTAGGGCAGTGAAGGCAAGGCAGCTGACGATAATTCAATTGTTCATTCAGTACGGGAAAGTGAATAGGCGACGTATCTGACCTGCCACGCTTTTCAATAATTAATAAAGACTAACAATTTATAGGAAGTAGGGTACACTGCATTCAATTGGTAACAAAAGACAAAATTGTCTAAACAATGTTTGGAAAAAAAAATTATCCCGTATATAGGAAAATTTATTTTCTCGTATAAAGTTATTCCTACAATATTTTATTGGAAACTCATAGATCATTCGTTTACTTTAAAAAGACGTATAAATTATCTGATAACTTATTTTTAAGATATATGCTTCCCGCAACCTAATAATGTTGTAGGTTGAACATTGTCTTCTTAAAGACGTCGTATAATCTCTGCATCTTTCATAATTCATCGACTAATTTGAGGTCTTCTATAATATAATGAAACAATAACCCTATATAAATATCACAGATTGATTTTTTTAAAAATTCTAGAATTTATTTGTTTTAAAAAAATTAAATTATTAATATAAAAAATACCTAAACTATTATTTAAAAAAAGTATATCACACATTATAAAATAATAAATTATTAAAAATATAAAAAATACTAAAAATATTAAAAAAACATATTACATAATATATACGTTAAACATTCAAGCACAAAAGTAAATTAATTATATTCATATAATTGAATTAGCAAAGTTAGTATGCTTTAAATTTTATATAATATCAACAATCACTAAAGATGTCATACATTTTTGTATCATACATGTACACATACAAAACATTGTATCATTATCATATAGTTATATCATCAATACTTATAGAAATTATTCTTATTGGATTAGTAAAAAAAACTTACGAATTTTACATCTAAATATAGTTAAGAAATATCGAAGTTATTCGTATCAATATACACATCTAATAATATTTCAAATAATTTTTAAGTGATGTTGTATATACTAGTTATACAATGTGCAATGGTTTATGAATAACCCTTAGAATTGTTCGAAATATGATTGTATGTGTATATTTATGCGGATAACTTACAATATTTTTAACTATAGTTAGATATAAAATTTGTAAGTCTCGACTAATCTAATAAAATTTGTGGACCGGTATGAACACGTTGGATTTTGTTTATTGATCTTTTATGCAACGAGAAATAATCTTTTATCCAAGTGTCTAAATTCAACTAATAATTAATTGATCTAATAAAATTAAATATTAAATTTTTTAAGCAAGAACTGAGATTTAAATTTTAACGTTTGTGAATTGAGAAATTTGTGTTAGAAAAGTTATCCCATAATAAGTTTCTACAAAATTCGATCTAAACTAATCGATCAATAAATTGAATATCAATGATTAATATATAAAAAAAAATTGTCCAATGCTCGATTCATAAATATAACAATGTTGTACAACAATAATAATCAACATATCGTTCCATCCACTCTTGGTCTTCAATGTCTTGTGATTAAGAGTAGTTTATTGATAGCATGGTGATTAAGAATATTTTGTCTTCTAATAGAAAATTCAAAAGTTAAAGGGATTCAGAAAATAAAAAAAAAGGTTTGATTATTATATAATTTGGATAGACTATATATATATACATATATTTGAAAGGGATAAATTATATCTTTAGTATCTCAATTATCACATTTACTGTGTTTAGTTACTTGATTTCATTTTAATCAGATAAAAAATTAACAAAATTATTGACATAATATTTATTTTATTTTTTTAATGAAATAATATTTATTTATGATAACATATCAATATCATCATTAAATTTTTAACAATAGATGGTCAAAATAAAACCAAAGTAAATATTAAGTATATTTTTTTTAAATAGTTAAGTAATTAAAATGAAATAAAAATAAGAGTTAAGAGTACTAAACATGTAATTTGTCCTATAACTTTTCATATTAAAACTTTAATTGTTGGTTAAAATGATTTTTGAGAGGAAATGAAAATTTGCGAATCCTTTTATTATAATATTTTGGTCTGATATTTTTATCTTGATTAATATATTAAAAGAGTTTTAATCATATATATTCAAGTATTTAGTTGGATATCAAAATCAAATCTTTATAATTAATAAAAACATAATATGTACAACAATAAAATAATAGAGTTCATTTAACTACAAAATATTTATTATTATTTTTAATTATTCTAAAATAAATATAAGATAATATTTTTAAGGGCTTTTAAATATATTAGATTTTTAATATGATATTTCATACGTAAATATTTCTCATTCTACTTTTTCTTTATGTCTTTTATATTATTAAAATAACAAATACCTCTCTTTCAATTTCATCTCTTCCTTCCACTATAACCATCATCATTATTATTTGACACTTATATTTAGAAATTAGGGTAAACAATATATTTAGTATCTAAATTATTAATTTTATTCCATTTTCCCCTCCAAATTATACCTTACGCTCAGTCTAAATTTTATTAAAAATAATGATAATGTTGAAGTGTTGAAAAAAATTAAAAAAATCACATCAATAATTTTATTACCTTTTTAATGATAAAATATCAAATTTAAATTTAAATTAAATATTAAATAAAAAATTAAAATTTGGTACATTAAATATTAAATAAAAAATTAAAATTTGAGTACCAAAACGGAATTAAAATAATAAATGTAATTTATCCTAAAACTTATTGCTTGATAAATAGAAGTAATAAACATTACCAACTAATTGATATAGTTGATATAGTAGAATCAAATATCAAATTTAAAATTCAAATCTTAATATTATAAATAAAATAAATTTAAATAGAAAGACTACCCCATAAAAACTCTATATTTACATGAAGAAACTGCCCTACATGAACTACTGCGATCTCTCTCTGTGTCTCGGTCTCCATGACATAAAATACATATACTATGTCACCCAAATCATCCAAATATATATATATATGCAAATGAAGGCAACACAAGGTGTCATGGAAATTTAGCAACCCAAATCAACAAATACTAGTATCTATGGAGTATCCTTCGGCTTTGCTTACTGTATTAGTCTCTGCCATAGATGTTAAGCTACTTCAGGTAAAGGAAGCTTCTTTACCTCATACAATAACCTAAAACCAAAACCAGAAACATGCCACCAAAATTAGGCCTAAAACCAAAGTGATTTATTTGTTTTTGTCTTAGTTTTAAGGCAGGACAAACGCTAGTAATCTTTTTTACCTCGTCATTGTCTGAAGCATCATATGCCAGAGTTTTTAGCTTCTTGGAACTGCATTCACTGCTAGTTTTTCATCTATGAAGTTCTGATCCGAAACCTCTGCAACCACCAACCAGTCTTAGAGTCCGAATACGGGTGCAATTTATTTAGCAATAGAGAAATTCATCAACTAGTATAAACATGCCTATTGACTTCTAACAACTAGTATATGCCGATCGGACCGGTTCCGATAGCATGGAGCCGGTCAGATCGTTTTCTTATTTATATGTGTTCTAAGTATATAGAACCATCAAATATAACAACATGCCACCGTAGCAAGACACCAAAAGATTATAGAATACTCATCAGATAATCATGAATAAATATTTATTTTGCTATCATATATGGATGCAAATCACGATCAGTATTGGTGAAATAGAGCTGAGAGCAATTCAAGGGAAACATTGACAGATCAACCATACAAAAGTCTATATCGTTAGTCTCGAGCGAGATTAAGATTCGTTGAATAAGCTCAATACCACTGCAGGAACTATAAACACATAAATTGTATAAAATCATCAAGATCACACCTATATACCAATGCAAGCATCAATTTTACCAATTTGTGGAGTCTTGAAAATGACATGATCATATACAAAAATTGCTTTCTTCGACATTTGAATTGTTTGTTTTACCTTTGGGTGGCGCATTATGTTGAAGATGGCTACCCGAGGCGAATACTCGAGACTTGGATCCGGATCTAAAGTGCTGGATCCATGGACTTGCCATGAAACACCTAGAGTGATCTCTTTTATTCGATTGAAATCCAGCTCTTTTGAAATTTATCTTATTCCAGCTACCACCTCGTAGAACTTTAAACTGCAAACAACAAAAATTGAAAAGAACAGTAAATAGATTGGAAACACAAAGACCCCTTTAATCATAAACAAGTGAAAGATCAGTCTCGAACCTGGCCCGAAGAGGTACGATGCGATTGCCTTGATAATTTTGATCCTGGAAAGTTCTCCTTTTGTGATTTCCATGGAAGAAAATCCATAGAATCATATAACTGGTCAACAAATGAAGCTTCCATGGATTTAAGGTATAAATTGTGCTTCTCATCTGTCCATTCTGTAGATGTAGATTCAGACATCAAAGAATCCTGTTGTATTATCATTTTCATCATTAAAAAACAGAAAGATTTCGCACAAGGCAAAGGCAACACGTAATTTTATTCACACAATCAGATTAGGAAACAATAAACAGCCTGAAAAAGAACTATGAAATATGTGAAGATAGAAAACTAATGTTATAAACCCTGAATTAACAGTACATAATTATCAATGCTAAATAGAAACGTTACAGATTAAATCAAGAGAAACATGCATGATTGATAATGATTAAAAAAAGTTAAGAGAATTTAGCTTCTTCACCGGCTAAACTCATATCAAAGTTGCTTCCTTTAAACCGGGTACAATAAAAAAACCCACGGTTCAAATTCATCGATACATAAATCAAAAGCAACAACAACATATGCTAAAAAAAAGATGGTTTATTTACCAAGCTTGGAAGTTGTTGTTGAGCAAACCAGCCGAGTGACATCGTATGAGCCAACGACTCAGAGGAAGAGGCATCTGAACTAGTCCAAGACTCATTTCTCCTGAAACCCTCCATGCAAAAGAAGTAAAAAAAAAACCACTAAATGAAAGATGCTTTTTAAATTTTGAAGATCAGAAGATGTTTTAAAAAAAAGAGGGAAAAAGGAAGATGGCGATGGCGATGAGAGCAGTTGGTATTTAAAAGAAAGGGCAAAGGAACGTTACAGTTGTCATGGCTTTTTACACGTGTCATTTTGGGACATCGACATTGCCACGTCACTCATGGTCTTAGCGTAAAGCTCCAGATATTTATCTGATCCCTCAAAATATCTACTCCATTCCTTTTTTAAACTTGAAAGATAAGATTACCTGGCCGCATTTCTCGGAGTTTTTGGTATATCTAAACTAAAATCTTTTAGATTTTTATATTTATTATTGAATAAAAAGTATTAGTAAATTTTCGTAATACAATGAAATGAGCATTAAAGACGTGACCTAAATTATTTTATTTAATCAAGTTTAATAATTATGAGTAAAATAAGGGTTTAATTAACACACGTGAATAGTGTGCATCTTCAACGCAGACAATGAAGGGAATACTCAAAATTAAACTAAAGAAGATCAATAGTTAAGTTGAGCATAGGAAAGAAACATACTATTTTTACTAAAATACTTAAAATTATCACCTAAATTTGAGGGAAGGAACTGTAACAAACTAGCGATGTGGGATATTTGGATTTTACTATCGATAATTTTAAACCCTACACGAAAACCCTTTTTTATTTTTAGTACATCCCACGGCATTTTCCAAAAAACCAGGATATTAAATATTTTTAAAAGTATTTTAAACCTTACAACTTATATATATATATATATATATATATATATATATATATAAAGAAAATTAGTCAACAATTAAATTAGCAAATAATAATAAAATATTGTATAATTTTTTTTGGAAAGAAAATACCATAGAAGTCATATTTTGGACATAGTATAAAATTTGTATGTTTTATATATCTTTTTAGAATTATTAAATAAATGAATATAAATGGATGATTTTTTTGAATAATGCTGTTGAAAAAAATGGTTCAAATAATACGATCGAATGATATTTGCTCGAATAATGATTTATATTATTTATAGAAAATAGGGAGCTTTTTAGGGAGAAAATTTTATTATCTTCAATTTAAAAGTTTTAAAATTAAATTACACCATTAATCACTAACTTATCACCTCTTTTCTATTGTGGTCATAAAACTATTTTTTTTACAAAATTGTTATTAATGTAACATTTTTTTCCTATTCTGATCATACACAATTAAATTTAACAGTTGGTTTAATGGAAATGATGATGTGACATAATACAATAATAATTTTGATCATTAAAATTTATATATTCTATAAATTTGATCATAATTTGAAATAATTCAATAAATTCTTAATATTTAAAATTCTATCAATTTAATTTCTATTTTAATTATTTAATATTTCAATAAATTTTTTCATTATCTTATTAAAAATAAAAATATGAGCTCAGTTGTAAAACAATGTTGTTACCATTCTCTATATATTTTTCTGACGTTAGCGATGAATTTACAAAAAAGGTAAAAGTTCAATGGACCAAAATAAAAACACAATTATAATTGGGTGATCAAATAAAGAATTTATGCCATTAATAAATAACAAGAAGAGGAATAACTGTGGAAAGAAAACCAAAACCGATCTGGAATAAATTCTGATAAACACGGTTTCTGATACCAAACAAATATGAAGTGGTAGAGTTGGGTATTAGCTTCGGTACTTATCATTGAAATTCAATCGGAGCCAGACAAAGATGTAAATGGGTTATACCTTTTCTAACCTAAGCATAATTATGAGAGATTAAAATATAAATGTTTTTTTTGAGAGTTTAAATTGTAATGTATTAATATAATATTAAAAAGCGGTATAAATCTATTGTAATAAAAAACTTTTATAAAAAAAAATATAACTTTTTAGATAGAATAATGTAACATTTTAGGTTGAATCAAAAAATATTATAAATTGTATAACTTTTTCGATTATAAACTCAAATCTGACGTCATGTGATTTTTTAAATTACAATCGAAAATATTATAAATTATATAATCTTTTAAATTGAAAATGATAACATTTTAAACTGAAAACATTTTAAATTAAACTATCGTACAATATAACTATATGTTTTTGAAATTAAAATCAAATAACTATCATCTAAAGGAAAACATTTTATGAGTAAATATAAATGGTGATCTTTCACTCTTTTGTACATTTTTTTAATGAGATATCGAAACTGATTTATTTAAATATATTTTAAAACATTTATCACTAAATTAAGATAACAATTCAAAAATAATTATGTTTTTATTAATATTTATAATACATGATTACAATTAAAGTATATTTAGTTAGTAAATTTAAATTTAAGTCGGTTAAATTCACAAACTTTTATTTAAATTTTAATTTGATGTAATTAAACCTGCATGTCAAACTACACGAATAATTTGTTTCGATATGAAATATCAACTTTAATTTTTTTCTAGTCAACTCAAATATATAAATGGTTAATCTAAGTTTCTTTTTAATTTGTCTACATTATTATTTTAAAATATTTATTCTATTTTAAATTTACTACTTTTATATAATTTTCTTTCTTTAAATATATTTATATTTTACTTTTTTATAATGAACAACTTAATATATTATTTATCGCTTATATTATGGTAGCATATATTATGAATTTAAATTTTATATGATCTAAAATATATAATATATAATACAATATATTATAAATTTACAAAATTGTTATGTCAAATTCAAATTTTAAATGTTAGAATTTAAGTGTGACCTATATTTTAAATGAATATATTTTTTTATTGTCCCAACTTATTTTCGGACTTATATTTTTGTCAAATCCTTTCAAATTTTAGAGAGATCTTCAAATTTAGATATATAATCTAATCTTTGAACATATCTAGCTAAATTTAATGGGGTTAAAGCAAGTGAGTGGCCTATTTGGATTTTAAATATTAAATATAAATCACTATTTCATAAAACTTATTTTTTAATATCGCTTCTTCGGTGTTTTATGCAAGAGAAGAAGGGGATTGGGATATATTGTTCGGTTCGGTTCTGTGGTTAATTTGGAATGATCTAAATTGGAGGATTTTTGACCTGGAGTACATTGAGAATGATTCCGTACTAGTGCGGGGTAGGCGACTAAGCTGTGAAGCTAGTAGTGCATTAGATTCAGCCTTATCATTAGCTCAATCTTCTCGTCGTTTGTTGAATACGATTGATCCTTGGTTTTCGCCTCCTCTCAATTGGTGTAAGGTTAATACCGATGGCTCCCGAAAAATAGGTGACATATTTGCTACATGTGAGGGTGTTATTAGATCCTCGAATGGTGGTTGGATGCTTGGATTCTCTAAAGTGATCGGAATTTGCTCTATTGTTGAAGCGGAATTGTGGGGTATTCATGAAGGACTTTCTCATGCTTGGAATCTTGGGGAGAGACAAATAATGGTGGAAACTGATTGTTTGGGGGCTTTTTGAATGCTGCAGGAAAGTTATATAAGAGCTTTGATCATCATGCTCCTAGATTATGTTAAGGGGTTGTTATATCGGGATTGGAATATGGTTTTGAAGCATATTCACTGGGCTGCAAACAAGGTGGCTGATACGTTAGCGAAGTTAGCTACAGCGAGGGGCAAAGTCCACATGGTTTTCACTAATCCACCAATGGAAGTCGTCAACTTGGTGCAACAGGAATGTAACATCCTCAATACCGGGTTAGTGACCAAAGTGTGAAATTTTAAAAATTTAGTGACCAGATTGGATAAATTGAAAAGATGAAGGAATTAACTGAAATATTTTATATAGGATAATTTAGTAAATGAAGAAAGAGTCAAAGGGCAAATGGGTCATTGAACAAGGAAAATAATTAAATAATAATTATTAGGTATTTTAATACCAATGTGGAACATGTTTGGGAAACAAATGTTTCCAGACCTCTCTTCTTTATCTTCTTCTTCTCCAACCGTGAAGCATACAAGCAAAGGTAAATTTCTTAATTAGTTGATTATTTGTTGAATAAAAGGTTGGGTTATGATTCTTAGGTGATACTTAAGGAAAGCTTAAGTTGTCGTATAATCAAAAGATGAAGAAGTTATAAGAGATTAAAGGGAATGGATTTCTAAATAAATTTTTGGAAAAGAGTTGATAAGTGGAATTGGAAACTAAAATTGACTTGCCATAAGTGTGAATAAGAAGTTATAAGTGTTAGAAATAAGTTTGGATTACATGAAAAATTTAGTAAGATTCTTGGTTTTAAGAATTTGGTTGAGATATGGGAGATAATAAGGTGTTGAATGATAAAAGTTAGTTAAAATGGTTGTAGTTGAGTTTAGTGGTATGAAAGGAGTTTTATATGAGGAAATTTAATGAAAAGTTGTGGAATTTTCGGGTGAAACCGGTTTATTATTGACAGGTGCATCGGTATACTATGAATGGGTATCGATGCACTAAGACCAATTTTGAAGGTGTATCAATACACACAGGCAGGCATCGATACATGGAAATTTCGAAGCTATTTTGGGTACCGATGCACCTATTGTGCATCGATATACCCCTAAAGGAAAAAGTGAATATTGATCTATTAAATTCGTTTAAGTTAATAGCATCGAAGTATAATGTTTAAGCTTCTGATAATTGTCTTGAAAATTATATTTATGTAGATACAGAGTCTAAACGAGTTTCGAAATAATTGACAAGTAGTATTGATCGAGGGAAAGACAAGGAAATATAGGTGAGTGCATACTATAAGTATAGTACAATGGAATAAGACTTGTGATAAGTCTAATTCCTATGTTGATTTTCATATTATAATAGTTATGAACATGCATACATGATAATTATTATGATACATGCATAAGATATAGATGTTCATATGCTTTGATAGACGATATATGTGAATAGATTTAAATGCACATATGATATAATATGTGATATGAGAATATGACATGAAATAAGTGATATGAGCTATGTGATCACAAGAGAAATGACATGAGTACATGAACATATGAAACATAAGAATAATGCTCATGGTATATGATATGAGAGCTATAGGT